GATTGTGTTGACTTTTCCTTAACTTCATAACTACTTAATGAGTAGGTAATGGAACGAGAAACACAGTCTGTCTTATAGGGAAGAGAATTTAAATTACATGCCTCCCTTCAGTTAGGGTTTGAGATAAAAATACAATAGCAATCTGTAGATAAGGAGAGTAGTATTGCAAATCCTTGTACACTGGGCTTTTACTGACCTAAGACGAATGGTATTCAAGTGGAGCTGAAGGGTGGGAAGCAGTTTAAAAGCCAACCAAGAGAGTTGATCTCATTTGGGACATCAGCAGATATCTCCAATGGCAGTGGCCCTCCTTCCCTTTCTATGTGGTCCACAATATTATTGGATCCTATGACAACCTCCTGATAATTGCTTTGATTGTGTTTTGTCTGATGACTTTTCTGGATATAGGGACATAGACCACCCAACTTATAAAATTAGCTAAGGAAGACATTTTCTTGACTAACGATGAAACTTATCCATGTCTATTACACGAAACAGAACAATTGTGTGCCAGAAAAAAAAAATGTTAAAAATTCAAAGTTAAAAGAAATTTAAATAGGGTTGGGGAGAGACTTCCTTTTTTGGAAGATTGACGCCACAGTGGTGATAAGAAAACTTTCCTGACCACCAAATTAAGTCAATGGGACTGGGAAGGTAAAGATGGCCACCCCTCAAAATGCCAAGAAAGGTGTCATCGGGATAACAACTTGAGAGCTACAGTTACATCCAAAGCATCATGTGATCCACTTGAGTGCTACTCATGACCACAGTGGTGATAAATTCGGTTGACCTTGGATTGTGGGGGTTTGCTGACCCAGGAGAAATCCCAGAGGGGAAAAAATAGCACTAGCAAAAAAAGAAACAAAGAAGCTCTCGGAAAGCATTTCTCAATCTGTCCTGCAAACGGGATCCTCTATTTCTCATTGCTGAGTATGTGTGCTCCCCAGGGGCCACAACACACTTCAGTAACATGCCAAATCACACACCACTTAATAAACAAAACTTTATTTTCCTTTAATACAAAAATTAAATAGCAAAGGTTTTTTTTGTACAGTGATAAATTAGAAATTTACAGTACAGACATCAATGCAGACATACTTTTGTACATCCTTAAAAGCAGGGTCCATTTCCTTTGAAATTCAGCAATTCTTTCAGGGAAAGTGTAGAAGGAGTTACATATATAGGTACCTCTATATGGAACATCTGAAAATCCCCCAGGTTGGCCTCCAGGTTTCTGGAGCTGTGGGGTGGCATAAGGATCCAAGAAAAGGCCCCAGACCAACTAGCTTGACTGCTGCACAAAGCAGGTTAGGTATAGCAGTTAACATCTTTCTTATGAAGAACTCAAAGGGTCTTCATGCTTAGACCTTCTAAAGCCTCACAACACCCTGTGAGGTAGAAGAAATTCAGAACCACCGACATGCCTCACTGGGAGAGCTCTAGAAAGCAGCTTACCCCTTCCAAAACACAGCCAAGTCAGAGTCTAAGCCTATTAACAGGATTTGGAAACTTTTTACCACCTGGGAGGGAAGATGGAACAAACCTTTGTGGGACAGAGCTGCTTTCACCCTTTTCAGAAGCCTTATGGGGTATGACAGTGGTCATGGACTGAATATTATCGGAGATCAAGGAGGTACAAAAGCTTTGAGGATATGGCTCATACAGGACCCCCAAAAGGCCCTCTATAAATTGCCTGGATGAATACTAGGAATTTGCTGATGCAAAGAAAGGAAATAGGTAAAGCAGAAACAGGCAACTATCAAGGCAACTAGGCTAGCGAGGGAAGAGGCATATGAGGGGCATCTGTGGCTCACTTCCCTCCTGGTACTGTCAAGCATGCTATTACTGCACATATGTATGGCAAGAGGCAGCAACAGAAAACCTCTATCCAGGCTACAGTGAAACAAAAATCCATTATTTAAGCTTCTAGGATCTGTTTCCAGGTAGGAGCAAAATGCTCTCATAGTAGTTTCCAAGATCTGTGACCTAGCCATGGAGGAAAAATGATAACCCAGGTCCTTTGCCAGATATGATGCAAACCTAGACAGGGACTCTGAACTCAAGTACAATAAAGGGACATGGAGAACTGTCAGACTTATATGATAGGCTGGAATAGCAACTCTATCCAGTGCCTTCCATCACAGAATGAAATTCAGGATGTAGAAAGATTTTAAAAGGCTCCTTCCAAAATCTGTGCTCTGGCTCCTTTTCTTTTTTCCCCGCAACACTGGGGATCAACCCCGGGGTCTTATGCTTCACTTTGTGCATTCTACCACTGAGCCACATCTCCAGCCCTACGTGGCTCCCTTTCCTAACTGCTGCCAAAGATTGCACCTTCCTGGCAAAATCTTTTTAAACTGAGCCTGTCCCTTCAGGGTGAGTGTGTTGAGTTCATCTTTGTGTCGTCAGGTTCCAGCCTGGTTCTATCACAAAAAGAACTTAATTTTATAACCAGGAGGCCGAAGGGGTCCAGAGACATAGAGCTGGGGTTGTTGAATAGAATCACAATTCAGCATCTAATGCAGAAGTGCAGGTGAAGGAATGACCAGGGAAAGGAAAGTCAGAAAGCGTGTTAAGGAAATGAAAAGTGTCACCCCTTCTCCGGTTTCAGGCCCCTAAGCAAGCTGCCAGTTCAGAAGCAGTCTCAGTGAACAGGAAATGGGTCTCCATTAAGGAAAAAGGATCTGAATCAACCAAGTAGTTCAACCGGATGGTTCTGGCCAGTTCTACCCTACTCCATGTTCCTCTGCCCTGAGGTTTAGCCTGCATAAGCCAAAGAAAGGAGTCTGCCAGAGATGAGGTTGGACAGAGGTGCCCTTGGCCCTGTTTAATAAAATCTCTGGAGACTGAGGGATTTTTGTAGAAAGCTACAAGCATACCTATTATACTAAATTTCAGAGAAAGAAAAATAAATCTAACTTTTCCTCTAGCAAGACACCGTCTTCAAATATTTCTACACAAATCCCAGGGAGCACCCAGAGCTCTGACTTGCCTACCCCCAAAATTATATTAGTGCAGGAGCTTGTTTCCTTGTAGCCTATTCTGAGTCTTCCTTGGGGATTTCTATGGAAATTGTCATGAAGCAAAGTTGATGCTTTTTGTCAAAACCCCTGTAATTGATTTGGAAGGAATCTTGGGAACGGATAAGAGATATGTTAAAGGTAGAAGGACCCAAGAAGAGGTTTGTGGGAAGGAAACAGTAAAACAGATGTGAATTCCAGAGGCCCCAAGTCCTTCAAAAAACCAATAGCAAAGTTTAGCAGACCCAAGTGCATCCCCACCCTAATACATCCCTTAGACAAACACAGCCTATCTCCCAGGACATCCCCAAGTGCCTAACACAGGGCTTTACACACAGTTGGCACTCAATAAATGTGCTGATAATTGACCTTTATTTTTTAAACAAATATCAATTTAAGAGGCAACGGAGTCACTTGAAGTTTGTTGGTAACTGACTCCTCAGTCACAGAGTTCCTTTCCTGAAACTGTAAACACTCCATTGTCTGGAATGTGAAAGGAAAGGCCTATAACCCTGTTGCATTGCCAACACTACTAATCCAGTCTGCACCTATGGCTACTTCTGATCAAATGTGCCTTCTCCTGAGAAGGCAAGAGATTTGTTGAATTGACAGTGAAACTGCAAAACGTTGTCAGGACACTACTCCAGAACTCAGTAGTACAGGTTCACCTAAGTGCCCTTTTATTGTTAGGATTATTATTTAATCTTTGACCAATATTGCCCATCCCTCTGCTAGGTTCTGTCTTGGTCACAAAAATCACTGAAGTGTTACAAAGAATACTACATAACAAACCCCTCTACTCTAACACTAAGGCCAGTCCCCCCACTGCATGGTCCTTCTTTTCCCTGGGCCAGAATGTCTGCACAACTCCCCAGACACCAGAGCGGAGCGTGAGTAAGGGCAGGCTCTGCCCCTGGGTGCATGCTCCAGGGCCCTGGACAGCTATGGGAACTATCTGCAAGCAGCACGGAGTTCACATTTTACATTAGGCAATGCAATCAGATGAAATTACACTGGCCCTTCCCGGGATCAGTTCTCATGCTCCTATAGCTCTAACCCGAAGTCCAACCTAGGTACTCAGATCACATGAAGCAGCGGGGGCCACCCAGGCCCACAAAGTTTCTATCTAAAAAGTCTCAAGACTTTCTCTTCCAAACACATAATGCACTTTATGCGCATCTGGATCTCAGACTGCTCAATTATACACAAAAACAAAGAAGGAAGGGAAACATCAAACCATTGGTATAAAGCTCAATCAAAAAAGCCATGCTTATTTTCAGAGTTCGATTACCTATTTGGAATTTGAGTCCCTAGAAATGTTTCTGAACTTAGAGTGCAATAGAAAAAGAAAAATGACCTTTTAAAAGGCATGGATTAATAAATGAGTCATTGCAAAGCAGTTGCTGAAGCAAAACATCATGTATGAGTTATAAGAAGAGCAACCTGTGACACTGACAACAAATTGTCCCAGATCTGGTGATTAGAAGACCTAAGGCGAGTTAAGAGAAAGGCCAGTTAACAATTTTAAAAGAACTGGAATTTTTGATAGGTTGCTAGGGGGTGCCCCCTTGTGAGAAACGTAAAGCATAAATTTTAAAAGCTCTGGATACCTCTGCAAAAGGCAATTAAGAAACCTGTGCTGTTAGGGTTTGCAGTTCATTTCATATGGTCTACACTTTATTTCCTGCTAACCAATCCAGCTCCTGGCTGGCATTCTGGAGATTCATTAAGCACCATATAAATACTCCAGGCCACACTGCCTCCAATGAAATCTTATAAGGAGCCTTTGCCAATTACTAAGGAACAATTATGCACCAAGTAGTTGGATTAGCTGTCCTTAGTTCCCTTTACAAAACTGAATAAGTCTCCATGGTGGTAAGTAGACCAGACTCTGATAACATTCCTATGCCAAGGAAAAAAGGCACTATCATTCTAAGAATGCAGTTGACCATAGTTTTAAAGTCAGTTGAGTATACTATGTCATGGTCCAAGAATGCGCTTTTAATTGTAATTGACACACACAAATTACACAGTTAATCTGTGTGAATGCAAAGTTGCCAAGAAATTTAACATTTTAGCTCTTCCAGACTGGCGTCTGCACAGATGCAATCACACAAAGTAAAAATATATTAAGTCCCCATTGCTCAATGCAAGAGGTCTCTGGGGTTGCTAAGGTAAGTCAACCTAGTAAATCTCATTTTTCGTCTGAATTAAGTGATTGTCAGAACGTGAATCACCCTTCCTTTTCTCCTCATTAGGCATGCTGCAGTGCAAATATTCTATAAAAATAACTTTTGGGGGGTCATTAGTGTAAAACGAAGAAAACAGCAGCAGCCTAGAACAGAGATGTTGAAATTTAAAGAGAGAAAGAGAAGAAAAATCCACTGGATACCTTGTGTGTGTTAGTTCAGTACTTTTGTTTGTTCAAACAATTCTGTTTTATGACAAAGGCACTGGAAGATTTTGACACCACCTCTTGGGAGTGCAATCTACAAAGTTCTAAACAGAAGACAGTGCACCACAGATGTTTATGTTAGATCAGCCAAACTATAAAACTCTTGTAACACTTCTCTGAACCCAGCATTTCCAGTGTTTATAGATCACTTTGCTATCTGAAAGACCTAGTTAGTATTTAGAATTTAAAAGGATTTAAAAATTAATCTTTCTCCCTGCAAGTTACCAACTCACACTCAAATCCCACCCAGTAGAGAAAAACAGCATCACCCTGGACTTTTTGGATCTAGGCAGGACCTCCATGCTCCAAGCTGCAACCTGCTAAAGTGATCAACATCTTGATTTTTCACAGCATTGCAAGCCTCTAACTGGCTTTTCCATTTTGGATAATTTCAAAGTCTGCAGCAAGATCACTGCTTTTTATGATGCTGGGGTGGGGGGTGAGGGGTGGTGGGTTGATGGGGATCTCTTAAGTGTTGCTAGTTTGTTCAAACTGAGATTCACCACATAAAACTTTTAGTTGCACTTCCACAGAAATGCTGACAACCCCACTTCAAGATGAAGAAAGTGTGGAGGCTGGCTAAGCCTTACACCACAGTTTCATTGCCTTTCCCAGGCTTCACCCAACCATTCCCTCTCTTCTCTCTCTTTACCTTCCCAGAATTCACCAATCTGTTGGAACACTTCTGCCACGTGTGAAGCGTTTTGGCAGACCAGATCCACATGCCTGAAGTGATGCCCACAAGCAAAGACATAAAAATTTTCAACATTTCAACAGCCATATTGGAGTCATCTGCAGAATACCGAAAGATTGCCCAATTAGAAATTTCATAGAAATAACAGGCAATCACACAGGTTGCAGGAACAGTATACAGTACTGAGAAGACCCCAATCTTGACCATCAGTCTTTCCAATTTGTCTGTCTTTGTCCCATCCTTTTGAAGATTTGACCGAATTTTGAATAAGGCCACCAAACCTGCAGCAATGAACAAAGTTCCAATCACCAAATAAGTGAAGAGAGGGGCCACCACAAAGCCAGTGAGGGCATCAAGGTTTTGATTCCCAACATAGCACAGGCCAGTCAGTTCATCGGCATCCACCAATCTCATAATCAAGATGACAATAGTCTTCACTGCTGGGATGGCCCAGGCTGCAATGTGGAAATAAGAGCTGTGCATTTCAATGGCTTCATGACCCCATTTGAGTCCTGCTGCCAAAAACCAAGTGAGTGTCAGAATAACCCACCAAATGGAGCTGGCCATTCCAAAAAAGTACATCAGCAAGAAAATTATTGCACATCCTGTGTTCTTAAGTCCTTCTTGGATAAGAACGGGTTCTGCTGCCTCTTCAAAATCGCAGGATATCCTTTCCCGGCCTACAGTCAGCCTGACAATATAAGCAATGCTATAAATATTATAGCACATACTGAGAAATATGATGGGGCGCTCAGGGTAAGAAAACCTGGAAGAATCAATCAGAAAGGTCAGCACGGTGAAGGCAGTGGAGATGAAGCACAGGCTGGCCCACACCGCCATCCAGGTATCAGTGAACTCCTTGGCTGAGCGGCTGTATAAACCAGCATCGTAGCCACACTTAAGAACGCAGTTCAGGCTCCTTTTCACCCAAATATACTGATCTGAATTGGTTCCCACGGAGTGACACTCCTCCCCAGGCTGTACAGGGGTTTTGTGAGGTAAGGGCACCTCTTCGTCACCTGGCCCTTCCATGCACATGTGATTGTGGTCGTTCTGTGGTGGGAATTTGCTGCAATTTAGGCTCTCTGGCCAGGCAAATCCAAATTCCTTCAGGACCGGTTCACAGCGTCTCTTGACGGAAAGACACATACCGCCACATGGGCCAATGGGGATGTTGATCTTCTCTGTGCACATTGGCACATAAACCGAACAAAGGAAGAACTGGAAAAGTAACGAAATGAACAAAGAAAACAATGACTTGGAAGTTTGGCCAAATGCTTGCACAAAGTTGAGTGAATGCTTCCAAGCAATGTACATATATCTACTTTTAAACCAGCCTACTATGAGTCTGTTTACTCTGCCCTCAAACAAGGGTGCCTAATAATCCATCACTTTTATACACTTAGTTTGGCTCTAGTAGTCCTGTCCAGAGGAACATTAAATAAATACATACATAAATAAGAAGGGTCTTAAGAATTATATAATCCCTTTTCACATCATAACCCTTAAGAAAATAAACTTTTAAAAACTGGTTTTCAATCTCCCTCTCCTTTTTAGCTACTATTTGAAAAAGTTGAAGAGTCTAATAAAATAATTCATTTATTTAAGTGATGGGGTGCTCACTTTTTGTCCTCATTTTTTCAACACCTCAAAAATAAAAATAATGTGGGCTAGGGTTATAGCTCAGTGGTAAAGTGCCCGCCGGGCACGCGTGAGACACTGGGTTCGATCCTCAGCACCACATAAAAATAAAGTAAAGGTATTGTGTCCATCTACAACAACAACAAAAATATTAAAGAAAAAAATAAATGTAATGTAAATATATTTATACACACACATATCTTGTTAATATTCTCTTTTCCTCTATTTTATTCTTTACATTTTTAAAAATCAGTCCCATATTGAAAATGAAAATATACCAACAGAGACACTGTTAGACCCAAGGATAAGATAGATTGAGGTCTCTAGTCACTGGGGATTTGTTTGGCTAGGGTTTACTCAATGAATAGTAATAAAGCACAATAGGAAAATGTAAATGTTAAGTCCCTGAAACTGCAATACCAGCAGGGGAGAGTCCAGTTGCTGTCCTCAATTCCTCCAGCATTGATAAACAGTCTCCTTGGCTCCTTACAGATGTTGTCTATGAAGTCTAGAGTTACAAGTAACTATTTTCCAGCATGTAAAGGGATCCTGGCCTGTCCTTCAAAACAGCTTGGCTGCTTCCCCAGAATACATGTAATTAAAAATATATATCCCTGCAAAAGCTGTTTCTCCAACAAAATTGCCACTGATGTCAGGATATGTGCTGTTTCCAAACTGAGAGCTAGAGGATCATTTCTTAAGCTTTTATAACCTAGTTCTAAAGTTCTGAAATTTCCAAAGGGATATTCCACCAGCAACAGGTCTAATCCCATCCATCTTTCCAAAACCACAATCCAACTTTTAAAATGACCTATGTAAAAACATGCAGCTAGTAAGTAAGCTGTATGTCTGTTTCTTATCTCTCAGAAGTTGCAGCCAGAACCATAGATTTCTGAAGCTTTTAGCCTGGACAACTAATCTCTATTTTTTTCCCCCTCAACTGCTTTCTTTTCTAAATTTCTAAAAATCACTCAGTCTTCTCAACCAAAAACCAATGAATGTTAAGTTTTTAAATTTTCCTTTCAGTCTTTCCCCATAATGAATTGGTTGTTGCAAGATTACAATTACCCTACATATGCATATTCTTTCTTCACTTATTATTCTAAGACAATTTCTGTCATTACACATTACATATGTTTAAAAAATTTTAATGACTGCAAAAAAAAAAAAAAAAAATCTTCCAATCTACAAGCTAACTTCTGGAACTCCGTCTCTCCTTTCAAACACTAAATCTTACTTCAACCCTGAGGATGAGAAAGAACTCAAGTCAACCCAACTAACTCCTTCCTGTATGACCTCTAAAACCAGAGGGACGACGCAAGGAGGGGTCATTCCGCAGCAAACGGGCCGTAGTATTTTATTTAATAACTCATTCCCCAAAATAAGGAGAGAAAGAAGGTCCGTGAGGGACAGGGAAGGGAGGAGAAGTTCCTGTCTTCTTATCTCTCCTTCCAAGTCTTAACTCCATTTGGCTCCTCTGCCTAGGACTCGCCCACCGAGCAGTGGCTGGAATCCTTGGCAAAGATAACCCTCAGCTCCACTGGGGTTAGGGGCTTGGCCAGACATGGGTGGGCAGGGGAGAAAAACGGAAGGGCGGGGTGTAAGAGTGGGTTCTTTCTCAGGCCAAATGACTTACACAACGTTTTGGCTTCCAGTCCCTAAGTAGGGACAGAAAAGTGGTAGTGGGGTTGCAAATCACTTTTCCAGGAGTTTTGTAACCCTCAGGCTTGAAAGGGGTCTCGATTTAGCATGAGCTCTACCGGGGGAGTTTGGGGCATCTCTGCCCAAAGGGTCACGCCAGGGGTGGGGGTTAGGGACGCCCACCTGCAGCTGGCTGGAGCAGCCGTACTGAATCAGCGGCGTGAAAGTTGTCAGTTGGAGCTCGGCGTCCGTCTGCAGCTCGTGCCCCACCAGGTTGGGCATCTTGGTCACGTTGTAGCCGAGGTTCTGGCACATGGAGATGCGGATGGGGTCGCAACGCCGCTCCTCCTCGTCCCCGAAACTCCGTGCCCGCCCCAGCAGTAGGAGCAACTGCAGCAGCAGCCCCAGACTGAGCCCGACACCTCCGGGTGCCCCCGGGACGCTCGGCCCTGCGCCCCGCCAGGCCATGGCCAGAGCCCGGGGCAGCAGTGGCGGCGGCGGGGGCTGCTCCAGCAGACACCCCCAGTTTGCACGGGGGCGCCGGCTGCCCGCGCTGCTCCCAGCTCTGGGGAAGAGAGTGTGATAAGGCGCCAAGGGCGATGAGGGGGCAGTAGCCGCCTCTTAGGCAGCTGCGCGCGTCTGTGTGGGGTATCAGACGCCCGAGGCTGAGACCGAGGGACAGACTGCGAGGGTCATGGCTTCAGGCAGCTAGCCCATAACCTGGCGACCGCGAAGTCTGCTCGGCGTCTCAGCGAAGCCCGCCAGCACTCTGCGCCGCGCCGCTCTCACAACCCCAACCCTTCGCAGCCCTGGAGATTCTCTGGGCGGTGGCGAGGCGAGACGGACAGAGAGCCTCTCCAATGGGGTGGCGTCCCAGGCAGAGAGGGGCGGGGTTGGGGCGGGGTGGCTCTCCCACTGGAAGGGTCAGGCCTCAGCCCGCAGCCCCCCTTCTCCGATTCTCCCTCGCTCCCCGGACCGCCCCGCCCCGCCCCGCCAGCTTCCCGGCGCTAGTTTTCCTCCCACCCGGAGGCGTGCTGGGGCCAGGCGGCTACGAACCTAGTAGCTCTGGCCCAGCCAACTCGCTCCCTCTGTCCCAGGTGAGAAGTGAGGTCGCCTCGATGCCCCCTTTCTTGCCCTCCTTCCAGCTGTCACCTTGACCCTTGGCCACCTCCCCGTCGAGCATAAAAACGTGCACAAAGAACACAGGATTTGGATTTGCACAGATTGTGGCTTTAAATCTAGGTTGTGTGACCTTGAACAAATTGTCCAACCTCTTGGCGTCAGGTTCCTCGTCCTTAAAGTGACTTGGGAGGATTAGCGATGACGCGTAAAACGCGTAGCACGGTGCCTGGTACAACGCGAGTTCGCAGCTATTTTCACTCCCAACTAGCAGTGATTGGAGCTGGGCCCCCCTCTTCCCGCCCCAGACTCGGCCCAACCTGGTTCGGGAGCTGCCTGTCTCCAGCCGCGAAAGGGGGAGGCGTCCCGGAGCAGCCGACCAGCCGCCCAGCCGACGGTCTCGCGCTCCGATTTCCTCACCGTATGAAATGAAATTCCACAGGGGGATTCAAAAGGAAATGAGACCGGGACGCTCCGTGCTGCTCGGCCCGCCGCCCTTCCTGTCTTGGGGACACGGTTTCTAAATAAGGTTGGGATGGTGAGAGGGCGGGAGGGGGGAGGCTTGACCTGTGTGCTGGGGGCAAGAAGAAGCACAAGCACCAGGACTCTCCCTTCCCCAGCCTCCTGGCCCTACTTCCCTTCAACCTGCGCTCCTTTCTTTCTTATCCTGCTTCTGTGTGGTTATGGGGATCTGGAGATCTTGCGACCTGGGTACCCATTTAACTTTCCTTTTGCATTCTCAACCTCAGGGGCTTTGTGTGCTCTACCCTCTCTCTGCTTTACCGTTAGCCGGTGAAACTCCCAGCAGGTGGATTCCTAAACCGTTTACTTGTTGCCTGACTGTGGTGGAGCAACTGTGCCTCTCCAAGCCTCAAACTAACATCTGGCCAACTTCTGAGGGAAGTTCATGTCTACCTCACACAGTTGTTGAGAGAGTTAACTGAGATAACGCCTGTAAGTCATTTTGCACAATGTCTGGCACATAGTAAATGGCACAATAGTAAATGCTGAATAACTTGGTTATTGTTGGGTTTTGGGTTTTGTTTTCTTCTGGGACCACTAGACAAGGTCAGTTATAGGACAGCCTCCTACTTTCCAGACGTGTTAAAGACATCTCTGGCAGCCCAGGTCTGAGGATATGGGTAGAGGGATTTCTACCCTCTTCCTGAGACCTTTTTGTTCAACACTTGCCACTGTTTTCCTGGGGCTTTTTATACCCTCCCATTTCAGCTGATTCTTGGCACGTAGCAGGGAGTAGGTATAAATTGGAGGAATGCACCATTAATGTAGTGCTCATATTTTGTCGTATATTTTTAGTTTTCTTATATTACCAACTCAACTTGACTGAGGGCAAGAATGTAATCAACTTCATTTGGTGTTTGGCTTTGTGCCTAGAACTAATTCGCAGGTCTGTGGTCATGGTCATAACCTCCCTGTGAAGGAGGCTGTATATCAGCCCCTTAAGGAGATTAGCAAACTGAGGCTAGAACCAAAGTAAGAGAAAATGACAGGACCAACCAGATCATGGCCCAATGGAAGCCCTTCAAAGAAGGAAATCAACATTATTTCCCCAGAAAAAGTCCCCATGTGGATATCAATGTACTCAGCAGTAAGGTTGAATCTTTGGCTTGAAGCACTTATGCTGAGACCATTAGACCATTAGACCACATGAGACCATTAGCCTACACAGAAGAATAGATAACCAGATGAACAGAGAAAATTATCTATTAATTATTTGGACTACAGAGATGAACATATCAAGTGAAGAGATTAAATAAATACCCGATCCCCATCCTCTAGGATCACACAGGAGACAAAGAATAAACAAACATCAGTAATGTTTGTTTATTACATTTACCATCAGTGTGGTAAATGTGCAGATAGAGAATTGTGGGTAAATCACAGGTGGAGGTAGCTGAGTTTGGAGGGCTACTCAACGGGGCTGACCTTCAGAATTCTGAGCCATTGAACAAAGCAGTTAGTGTGAAATTGGCCCTTCTCCTAGAGCAGGAAGGGGAGGGAGGCATGCTCCCTGCTAAAGGCACATGTGTATGGTTTATGAAGGAATGAACTCTCCGCAGTCAAGAGGAGGACCTGCTCCTCACACAGGGCACACAGAGAAGACATCAGGAGTGCTGAGTGAAAGAATGCTATTACCAACTCAATAAAAATAAAACAGAACTCATGTAGAACCCTGACTCTGAGCCAAGCACTGTGTTCCATGACTTACATTCATTTCATTTATTTCTCACAACCTGAGAAGATATGTTTTGAGAGGTCAAGCAATTTACCCAAGATCACATAGTAAGTGGTGGAGAAGGCTCAGATGCAAATGGACCTGGCCCTAAACTGTGTGTGTGTGTGTGTGTGTGTGTGTGTGTTACTGCTCTCATAGAGGAAACTGCTTAACACCTAGCCTAATCCACAGGTAAAGATGACCCTTTTGTGATCCTGACCTCCTTCTAGGCCTGGCATCCCTGCCTCAGCATGTTTGGAGCAACTGTCTCCTATGAGAACACTTGAAGAAGCCCCTTCCCTGTCAGAAGCTTTTCCTGTCAACAGCTTTTCTTTCTAGGTATTTTCCAAAAAAGAAAGCCAGGGGAATCACATTTCAGTCTGAATGTGGAAAGAAAACAAAGACCACAACTTAGGGCTAAGTCTGAATAGCCTGGAGCCCCTTCAGCCCCCCTCTCATGGAGTGGTTTACTCAGTCCACAACTGCCCCTGGTGACAGGCATGGCATGTTTGTCTTTGTTACAGTGACATGCACAGCATTTCTGAGAGGAAAAGATAGTGACGTGTGAATGGAACCTTCAGTTAACCTAAAGCCCTGGCCTGGGCCCCTAGTGGCTCTGGCCCTAGTGCAGGGCAGTTTCCTTGGTCCAGCCGGGAGTGGTAAAGATGCAGCCAGTTTGGAGCTGCCACAAACATGACTTCAGCGGCTGTTGGCCAGTTGGAGGGCTCTCTATTTGCATCTAATGAGGGGCCGGGTTCTAATTAACTCCTGTGATGTGTTAATTTTTCAACCTGACATTTTCTGCTCTAATAGATTCTTGTAATGGTTCCTAAATTAAAGGCTGCATTTAAAGACTAGAGTTTAGGTTAAACTCCATCACCTAAGGGGGTGGGAGCTGTAAACATCCTTTCCCTCCTAAAGGAAACCTCTCATTTGCAGTTCTTTGCTAACCCAATTAAGTGTTGAAGTGGTCACCCCAGAGCCTGCTTTTTATTTCCTGTGAAACAATCCAACTAATCCATATTCAGTAGCTTCCAAGAAAAGTCTTATTTCAACCACTCATGAAGAAACCAGCTTCTTTGAATCTAGGCAGAACATTTAGAACTCACAAAGAGTTGTCTTGATAGAAAATGCAAGAAAGTAGTTTATTATTACCCTGTTTGGTTTTTGAGGGAAAATTTTGCTGGTACTAAAACCCCGTAAGTATTGTGAATTTACTGAAAACAACAGAACCATAGGGAAATGCCAAGCCACATCCTATCAGTTTATAAATAGTCTGGGTGCTTCGTCTTCCCCTGCACCCAAACTAGTTATAAAACAAAACCATGTCTACTGAAGAAGGTGGAAGGGAACACTGATCTGGCTCCAAGTTGAGGAATCAAACATCCCAAAAGGCTAAGTGACAACTATTAACTGGCAGAGCCAAAGTCTCTTAGTCCATTGTACTACTAGTCAGGAGGGAAGCATCATCACCACTGAGATCTTGATGTCAAGGAATCAAAGTCCAGTAGTTCCTCCTACCCATATATTCAGCAAGCATAAGAAGGTAGTGATGGTTTAACACACAGATGAGAAACCAAGACCTCTGTGGGAGGCAAAAATTAATGAAGACACACTTTCTACCTCCACTACCTCATTTTGTTTCAGTATTTGACAAGCCATTAGCTGATGTCTAGAGATGGATTGTTACAGATGTGTCACTGCAGGTATGTAGACTTATAAAAGATGGTTTCTGCCTTCAAGAAGCTTTTAGTCACACTGGGGAAGATGAACATGAGACCAAAAGTGAAACAAGTTCTTTAAGGCAAGTACTTTTTCTTTGGACTCGCCCCATTCTCCCCCTAGTGTACATAAGGTTCTACATTATAAGGTTCTTGTTTATTCTTTGTCTGTTTCATTACCTTTGAGGTCAGAGGCTTTGTCCTGTTCTCCATTGTGCTCCTGATCAGAATAGAACCGGACCATTGAAGGCACTTAGTAGTTATTTGTTGAATAAATAAATGAATGTTGTAAGTGATAAGTGATCTGCTTTTTCAGAAGAGAGTCTTCATTATGGGCTGGGTATAGGCAACCACCAAAACACATCCAGTTAGATCATAAGTTAAAGCCTGGTTCAGAGCTTTCAGCTTTCTTCTGAAGTCATGTTTTGCCAATCATTTATCTTCTTCTTTATGTATTTTTTTAAATTTACAATGCCTATTCTTAAACACTTTTCAGTAGAACAATATTTTTGGCTAAAATCACCCTTTGATTCAGAGGCAAATGAGTTTCTCTACTTTGTGAATCAACAGAAGATAATCTCTTATCACGGTTTATTGGCTAATCAACCACTCATCTCATTATCATCTGAAGCCATTGAGAATCAGATATGCCATGAGATAGATCTCAAGCCAAGGAATTTTAAGTCAGTGAATCACTTCTTGGTAAGTTTGTAGGAAAAAATGGA